TCTCCAGACTGCTAAAGGGGAAAAAGGTAACTTCTGGTCCTGCCAGATGGAAGTTTTAGAAGATGGAATCCGCATCACACCCTTCCTGCTGGATCTTATGGGATGGGATCGGGAAGAGGTGGTCCCTCAAATAACCTGGTCCCATGCCATGTAGGGATTTAGAGGTCAAACCCAGCACCTTGCATTGTACCCGGAAGCAGACTGGCAGCCAATGCAGCTCACGGAATAGAGGTGTAATGTGTGCCATCCTGGGGGCACACATAACTGCCTGCACAGCCACACTCTGCACCAGTTGAAGCTTCCAGATGCTCTTCAAGAGCAGCCTCACATAGAGCGCATTACAGTAATCCACTCTGGAGGTGACTAGGGAATAGGTGACTGTGAGTAGAGCCTCATGGTCCAGAAAAGGGCAAAACTGGCACACAACTCAAAATTTGTGTAAAGGCCCTCCTAGCCACAACTGCCACCTGCTCCTTGAGCAGGCGTCGTGAATCCAGAAGGAACCCCAGGTTGCACACCAGGCCTGCTTGGGGCAGTGCCACTCCATTCAGTACCAAAGGTGGTAAAGTCCCAGATCCAGAAGGTCCAAAACCCCACAGCCATGCAGTCTTGCCAGAGTTTAGCTGATGCCTGTTGGTCCCCATTCAGACCCCCAATAGTCTACAGGCACTGAGACAGGACATCAGCAATATCTCCTAGTTCACCAGGGGCAAAGATGTACATTTGAGTATCATCAGCATACTGATGTTTCCTCACTCCATGGCAGTGGATGAGATCACCCAATGTAGATGTGAAACAGGAGTGGAGAGAGTACCCACCCCGCAGAACCCAGCATGGTCATGGGGTGTTTTTAGGGAAGGCAGGAGATTGAGCACAAGACCAAGAGCACATGGGCAGAGAAGGAAAAGAAAAGGCTAGAAGGCACCTGTAAAGTGGCACGTACATGTCCTGGTGATAGAACATAAAAAAAGAGCAAGGGAAAACAGAGGAAGGTTTATTTTTTAATCGCAGACACTGAAGGACATGCTGCTGGAGAGGACATCACATGGCTAATGTGGAGGGGAGTAGAGGAATGACCCAGCCTGCCAAGTCCAGAGATTCCGGCCCTGGGACCAGGAGGAAGGCCGGGAGCAAAATCCTGGAGTGGCTTGTAAGAGTGTGGAAAGACCAGGAGAATGGACTGTGTTGTGTGTATGGAGAGTCAGATGCTGGCCAGTGGAACATAGTGTGCTAAAGGCTTTGCTTGGCAGCTAGACAGCCAGGTGAAAACTCAGACATTCT